TCTACTAGACTGTCTCCACAGCAGGTCAGAAGCTGATCCAGTGAAGGGTATACAGAAGGAAGTCCCTCAAGGCCAGGTCCTGAGTAGCATCATTGTCCACTTCTCTTTCTTGAGCCATCAAATCAGCACCCTTGTCCTGGGTTGGCCACTGACAGGGCTACCCTGTCACTCACCACTCGCATCTCCCCTCCCTGAAGCTGCTTCACTGTTGAAATGCATGGTGCTATGTTTCATGTTGGTAGGACCCCAGGCTGTGTGTTTTGACCTTGGCAGTGGAGGAGTGTCCCATTGGGCTATTTCTCTTGTAAGTTATATGATATATATCTGCAGGGCCAGCTGCTGGCAACCAGGAGCCAGGATGCCCACACCTTCTGGAATCAGTGAGGACTGCTTATATCTCAACGTGTTTGTCCCTGAGAGCGTGGTGAGTGCTGGGGTCTGGGAGTTGTGTTCTGTTTGCTCACTGCTGCCGGCATTGGCTCACTCATCCACTTGGGTTCAGTACTGCTGCCCCTGAGCTGTTCCCAGTGGCTCTTAGCTTCCTGAAGACCCTGCAGGCATAGAAGGTTCTCCTGGTCCCTCCAAGGCCTTATCCCATCCTTACCCACCTCAGTACATGACTTGAATGCTGTTAGTCTCCTAACACATTTACAAAGACCCTACTGTGTATCAGGCATTGTTGTATATGTTACAACACAGCTAGGAATAAAAGGAAGTTGCTACCTTTGTGAACTTCCATGCATACATCACCAGTAACTCTATCTAAGCACCAGTAGCTGATATGGAGAAAAAGAAAGCTGAGCAAGGAACAAAAAGGGCCTGGTGGGGCTCTGTCAGGTGGGTGACCAGAAGGTGACATTTGAGCAGTGCATGTGCCTTACAGACAACTGAGGAGAAGCCACAGAGTGGGAGACTAAAGTAGACACTCCCTCGCAGCTAGGGATGGTGGAGCTGGATTCAAACTTGGTCTTCATACAAAGAAACCCCCCTAAAAGGCAACCTCAGAACATTCCTGTGGAGAGTTCCCTAAGAGCTCTGGAGGGCCAGGTCTCAGGACTTGACCTTAAATCAGATTGTGCTCTGTTTGGACGCTCCTAACTGACCAAGAGCTTGCTGTGCTCCTGGTGTGGATTTGAGTTTCTTGTTGTTCAAGAAGAGACAGAGGATGTGAGAGACATAGGATCTAGTGAGTTTAGGGAGCATCAGTTTCTGGTGGGGCTAGTCCAGAAAGCAATGATGGATCTGATGGTGGGTGTGGCCATGACTCCACTTCCTGGTCCCTGGTCTCTGCTAGCATGTACTTTTGGAAGTTTGATCTTGGTAACCTGGTCTGAGGGAGCTCCTAGTGAGAACATCATAAATGTGGAAGGTCTCACTGGTTGCCTGAATAGAAGTGTGGAGCTAAGATTCTGCCCCATGCTGTCACACGGCACCTGGAATGTTGAATTAAGTCCTGGCTCAAAGTCATTTCTGCCACTTACTCCTACCTCATTGGCAGCCTTGAGAAGGCAACTCAAGTTCTATGTGCCTCAGTTACCTTATCTGTAAAGTGGGCAGAGAAATATCATCCACCTTAAAGTCCATGTGAGAGTTAGCTTAAGCAGTGCATCCCTTAAGTGCTCAGTACTGGGCCTACCACATCTGAATTAGTCAACACATGGCTAACAGGAGAGACATGGGGGTTGGAGTGGAGACAGTGGGGTAGGAGTAGAGTTGGAGAACAGTCAGCGGGCTAGATCATACCTAGATCACACCTAGAGGCATGAGAGCTGCTTCATTTGAAGAACAACAAGAAACTCAAGCACACACCAGGAGCATAGCCAACCCTTGGACCATACTTGGGCGTCTTGGAAACCAGAAAGCGCATGGAAGAGTAGTAATCATCTCGGGGGACCTGTGCCAGGCATTCAGCGGGATACTTCTTCTTGAGCCAGTGGACTCCAGAGGAGCCCTGGGTAACCTTACTCAGCAGTTAACCACCCAGTGGCTCCACAGAACTGGCAATCTGTTTCCATACAAATGGCAGCCTAAAAAGCTGTGCGGGGCGGTAATACTCTGTCCCATGTGTCCCTAGGAGTCAGAATTGACTCGATGGCATCCAGCTACAACAGCATGCATTACCAAGGTAAGTTTCAATGACAGAAGGACCAGTTAGAGGAAGTCCTTGAGGCCTCAGAGGATTCTTCATTGGAGAACTCAGGGCACCAACTGAGGGTAGTGATGGAGAACCAATGCCTGGCATCCTGAGATGGATTCAGGCTCTACTCACAATTGCAAAATGTCCTTACTTTTCTGACCGTTTCTTTACCTGTGAAATTGGGTTGAGCATGCCTGTAGGGCAGAGATGACAAAAGGAGCCATGTGTTGGTGTCCAGTGCTTACCAGGGGAAAGGTGGACCTGCCAACCCCTTTTGGTTGAAAGAGAGCCCACCTCTAACCCCCAGACTTCTCCAATGTCACAGGTCCCCAACGCCTCGGTGTTAGTCTTCTTCCACAACACCGTGGAGGACCCCGAGAGAGAGGGACAGCTGGCCGTCGACGGTTCCTTCCTGGCTGCTGTTGGTAACCTCATTGTGGTCACCGCCAGCTACCGAGTGGGCATCTTTGGCTTCCTGAGTTCTGGTGAGTTGTGGTGTTGGTGGGGACAGCTGACTTTCTGAACCGAGGCTCACTCTTGGGGTGTTCTCAGCCCCTTCTTCCTGAGCACATATTTGTGAGCACCGGCAATGATATGACACAGAGACTATAGTGACCATGGACTGACCTATGTGCCTGAAGTGGTCCCAAGTTCACTGCAAGTGGTAACTAAGGCACAAAGAGGTTAGGAACATGGTGATTTCGTCAAGCTCATATGGTTAGGCAAATTGGACCCAGGGTTTACCAGAGGTCCATGTGTTTTAAGGAATGAATGATAGCTCTTCTGCTGACCTGGGACTGAGGAGTGGACTAGTGATGTGTTTCTCACTTTCTCTTTCATTCTGGCCCCACTTGTGGAGATCAGCCTGTCTCTTACCCAGCCATTTATCACCCATTTATGAACCCATTTATCACCCTGACTCTGCCGACCCAGACCCACCCATCCCCAGGATAGATTTGAACCTGGAACCAGTTGAACTATCCCCCATCTGCACATATTCCTCCATGGTCAGCATGCCCATGTCCAGTTAGCTGTAGCAGAGGGCAGGTATATGGAACTCAGAATTGGAGAATCCAATTGTCTGATCTGCTGTTCTGCTGTGTGACCTCAATCTTCCCTTCCATATAATGGGGATAATTTTATCCCACTTCCAGGGTTACTGTGGAGTGGGGCAGCGCTCATGGAAGGGCTTTAGAAGAGCTGGACACAACCTTGGATGTGGATCGAGCTCTCTCTCTGGTTCCTGAGAATCTTATTTAAAACCTGAGATGTTTTCCATGCTAATATGGATGGGTGGTTAGAGGTAAAAAGGCTAAGGAAGGAAATGACTAGAATGTGGGGGAGCTCAGGTGTGATACAGATGAACAGAAGACCAAAGGTTGGACCTGCAGGGTGGCTTGGTGGAGAGCATCTGAGGCAGTGAGGTCAGGAGGACCAAGATGGGGATTTCAGTGTGGATGAACTGTTGACGCAGACAGAATAGGACAGATGCCAATGTGAAAAACAGGATGATGACCAGAGTTCAGATTTTCCTTAGAGGGGATGGGGTCCACTGCTAAAGAATGAGGACTTTGGGAATATTGGATAGAAACTGGGGATCTGAGAAAGCTTTGGGGGGAGTCGAAGAATGATTTACACACAAACACACAAATAAGTTTTCATCTTGAAGGGGAGTAATCTCTTTGCTTGGGATGTTGTTCTTCGTTCCCAACACGAGATGAACAGCGGTCTATTAAGGCAGCCATTCTTTCTCTAGCACACGTGGAAGCAATTTGAAGGCCCCCCCCCCCACACACACACACATTGGATTGTGAGCAGGCAGGACTTTCCAGATAGGACTGATGTTTGGCTTAGACCATCTCTAGACTGGACAGCGATTTTCCATTGGCTCTGGGTTCTAAGGGCCGGGAGTTGTCATCGCATGGACTCTGATCCTGCTGAGAATCCATGTACTTCTGGAAACCTGTTCTGGCTGGGGCTGGGGCAGGCTAACAAGAAGGGAAGATCCAGCACATCCAACTCTCTCATTCCTAACCTGCACCCACATTGCTTCCTTACCTGGGCTCAGAGCAGCACCCATCACAGTGACCAGGCAGGCTCTGTGACTGGCTTGGCTCCCTGACTTAGTCCTCACAGCAGAGCACCCAGATGCCAGGAGGCTAGGACATAGCATTGTTGTTAAGTGTCGTCAAGTCAATTCTGACCCATAGCGACCCTGATTAGAGTTTCCGAGGAACAGCTGGTGAGCTTGAACCGCCAATCTTGCAGTTAAAATGGCTTTGTAGTCTGAAGCATTAGCCCACAGTGCCACACCAGGACTCCAGGACTCCATGGTTGGTTGGTTATATGCTGTCGAGTCGATTCCGACTCATAGTGACCCTGTACAGGGTTTCCGAGGCTGTCAATCTTTACCGGAGCAGAAAGCCTCATCTTTCTCCTGCGGAACAGCTGGTAGTTTCGAACTGTTGACCTTGCAGTTCGCAGCCCGATTCATAACCACTACGCTACCAAAGCTCCTTCCAGGACTCCATTAGGACCTCTTTATTACAAATGCTCACCAGCAGCATCAATCCCAAGTCAAACCTACTGTCATTGACTCATAGAGACCCTGCAGAACAGAGTGGATCTACCCAGGGGCTTTCCAAGGCACATGTAGCGCCGTGGGTTCATGCGCCAGACTGCAAAGCTGTTTGAATTGCAAGGTCGGTGGTTCAAGCTCACCAGATGCTTCTCAGAAACCTTATACAGGGTCGCTATGGGTTGGAGTCGACTCGACGGCACTTAACAACAACAGTCTTTACAGAAGCAGACTGTCTCATCTTTCTCCTGTGGAGTAACCAGTGGTTTCAAACCGCCAACCTTCCAGTTAACAGCCCGACACTTACTTCTTCCCTGCTCCACGAGGGCTCCTAGTGGCAGGGTGGGCTTTAAACCCTGTCAGTGAACTAACAACAGCAGAAAACAGAAATGCCACATTCACATGGCAGCCAGCCATCTCCGATTGGATTGGCCAAGTGGCAGCATCGATGGACTCAAGCATGGCAACAGTAATGAGGTTGGCCCAGGATCAGGCAGTGTTTCATTCTGCTGTGCATACGGTCGCTATGGGTCGGTACCGACTCGATGGCACCTAACAACAACAATAACCTTGGAGCTCATTTAGCCTCACATGGTTTTTCTTTGCTTTACTTTGTACCAGTTGCCACTTGGCGACTCTGGAGGACAGAGTAGAACTGCCACATAGGGTTTCAATGGCTGTAAATCTTTACAGTGTGTGTTTGACAGGTTTTTCTTCCACGGAGTAACTAGTGGGTTTGAACTGCCAACCTTTTGGCTAACAACCTGGTGCTGAACCACTGTGCCACCAGAGTTCCTTTCTTTAATAAAGAAAGCCCACTGCCATGGAGTTGATTGTAACTCATAGCAACCCTGTATAGGGTTTCTGAAGCTCTCTTCTCTACAGGAGTGAGATGAGGCAGGGAGTTAGCTCCTTCCCATTGGTTGTGCCAAGCAAGGGGTGGTACTGACCATGTGTTCTGAACTCTTATCCTGGCTAGAGACAGTGCCTCATGTACCAATAGGAAAGCCATGACCCAGAAGAGTTAAATGACATGTCCAAGGTCTCCTACCCACCAAAGGCCAATGCTGGAATTCCAGCCAGGGTGTGTGTGTGTGTGTGTGTGGCTCTGACGTCCATTTTCTTCCCAATACCCCACAATGGATCTGGAAACACAGTGGTCCTGACCTGTGGAGGCATGAGCCTGAGTAGCCCTGGCCCTCAGTGGAACCCCTACACCTGGTGTAGACCACACTGCGATGACTGATTCTGAGGCTGCAGAAATCATGCCAAAGGCTTTCCTCTTCTTTGAAGGGTCCCGCGAGGTGACTGGAAACTGGGGACTGATGGACCAGGTGGCCGCGTTGACTTGGGTACAGACGCACATCGGAGAGTTCGGCGGGGACCCTCGCCGCGTGTCCCTGGCAGCAGACCGAGGCGGAGCTGATGTGGCCAGTATCCACCTTGTTACCCCCAAGACTGTGGAAGCCAGACTCTTCCGGAGGGCTGTTCTGATGGTGAGTCATTGCAGATACTGCTACCAGGAAGTGGCTCTCAGTGCGTCTTGAGATCATTGAATTGCTTGGTTTTCCCTCATCCTTTGTCCTGAATGTGGATTCTGCTATGGTCATCTTTCCATGTGTGTATGAATCCGGCACACTGAAGTATCCCTAGACTCTTTCCCACTTGTATCCAAAGTGACACCAGTTCTAGATGGTGCGAGATCTCCTCATTCAGGTTGACTTATTCTGAACCTTTAATCAGTCCCTTATCAATGGATATAAAGAAGGGGATGGAACAGAGTCAGAAACTTGCTGGTGGAGGAAAAGGTCAGACTGCTGAGCTACATTAGGCAGATCCCTAAACAGGACAGAAACCGAACAAAGATAGCCCTCACCTACCTTCCAGTATTGCGCCTTTGATGGTCTCTGTGTTAGAACTTGGACTTCTAAGCCCTTACATTGCCTGGTTTCCTCAATGGCCCTTACTCTAGAAGATCTGATGGCATTTCCTTGGTCAACCGTGTTGGGTGACTCTTGGATTTCAATGGTCTCTTTGGTTTCATTATGGGTCCACTTAGTCCTTGACTGTTGAATGTAGGCAACTGACACAAAGCACAGACTAGAACTCATGACTTGTGATTCTGCCGGATGCTCTGAAGGACCTGCCAGGTGATGATGGTGCTGTTGACTTGATGATGATGATAATCGTAATGGAAGAAGTGCCCAGTTGGTCACAGCATCAGGTCTGCTTCTTTCTCTATTGAGTATCCAGTTTGAGAGAGGTGTTGTGTAAGAGGCTGGAAGTGGCACCGTAGATAATGCCCGTTCTGTTCTCAGGACGCATGCAGCTTTGTAGGGGATTGGGAATTAGCAACCCAAACAAATATTGAAATGAGGGTCTTATGACAGCTCACAGAGAAGGCCCGAGCGAGTGTCCAGGAATGCTACCCAGATAGAAAATGTCTGGACAAATCTTGCAGGCTGTGTAGGCATTTGCTGATGGGCCGAGATCTGGCAAAGAAGGAGAACTTGGCTGTGCGTGGGAATTTTCAAGCTGTGTGCTGTGGCTGGCGGGAAAGATCCCAGATGGGCAGAGATGCTGAGGCTGGGAAGAACAGAAGTGTGCCAGGTCCTACTACAGAGAGTGAGATTTGTCTCGGGTGCGTAGGGAACCACTGGAGGGTTCGGAGACACCTGGGAAGCTGGTGGACTTGAGATCAGTATTTCAGGGAGATTTCTTTTAGAACTGGGAGGTTTTTATGTGTTGTCGAGTCAGTTCTGACTCACAGAGACCCCATTCACAGTAGTCCTGTGCCATCTTCACAATTGTTTTGATACTTGAGAACTGGGAGGAGGAGGGATTTGAGTGGGCAAGGAAGCGATCCCAAGACTATTATTGTTAAGTGCTGTTGAATCAGATCCAATATATAGAGACCCCATATAGGGTTTCCGAGGCTATACAACTTTTTTTTTTTTAAGTTTTTAATGTGAACTATGTGTTAGTTTACATGGGTGAACATTATCTTTACATTCATCCTATCGTAATTTGTTTCACTGCAACGATCACAATCCCCTGCATGCATCATCAAACAACCAAAGGGTACACCCCACACACCTGCCCCCCTGCCGCTAGCACACAGCCCTTCTCCATCCTTGAGTCCAGAGTCCCCAGGCCCTCCTTCTGTCCACTTCATTGTCTCTGCCTCCATCTGAGGCTGTGCATATTTGTGGGAACAGAAAGCCTCGTCTTTCTCCCATAGAGTAGTCGGTGGGTTTGAACTGCCAACCTTGTGGTTCACAGTCCAGTGCTTATCCCACAGAGCCACTGTGCTCCCACAGAACTATGGGGGACCAGTGACGTCACCACCATGGGCTGAATGAATCTCTCTCAGACCAACCATGTACCTGCAGCTGGTTCGTCCAGCTTTCCAGTGACCCCACATTTGGCCATAAGAGGAGCAGCAGAAGCGTCCTTGTGTGGCCACACTGATGCTAGACCAACATTGTGACCATTCCCAACAGGAAGCAGTGCCACCAGCCACTCCACCTTCCTCCCTCAGCCGCAGGGGCTTCTGGTGATCCATAAAGAGTCTGTGTTCCTGTCTGCCTCATACAGGGTCTTCCTCTGAGGGCGCCCTTTTCTCCCATCCTCCTCTTACCTGCCCTCCTCCTCCTTCAGGGAAGCCTTCTAGACCTTTTTGCTGAGAACTGGACCCCTTTATATAGGAGGACTTCAGAAAGTTCGTCTTTAAATGTTAATATTTCCATGAGCTTTTTGAAGCCCCCTCACGTGGCCTCCATCAGCCTTGACTTCGAACATCAGTAAACATTTATCACCAGTGCCAGGTGTCTTCTTCTCATGGCGCCCCGAGTCTGTTTCACAACGAGTCATGTAGTAGATGTTCAGTGATTAACATCAGACACCGAATGAACACATAAGGGGTGGAGTGCTCAGAGCTGGGACCAGGAGCCCACAGGCTACCCCTCCGCCTCCCACAACCCCTTCTTGTATATCTTGTGCTTTGATTCAAGCTTTCTTGAAGCTACTCATTTGAAGAGAGTCCATTTGCATGGCAGGAGATCTGAGACAAACAGTCTTCAAATCCTGGTGTGGCAAACAGACAGTCTTAATCTCCCAGCATTGCCGAAGCAGAATATCAGAGTGGGTGGCTTTAAGGGGCAGACATTAATGATCTCCAAATGATCAAGGCTACAAGTCTGAGTTCTGGATGTGGGCAGGGTCAGGCTCCAGGGGAAGATCTGACTCATCTCTTTTGACTTCAGTAGCCCTGGGCATTTCTTGGTGTCCCTCTGGATTGTTGATGGATGTCTCTCTGTGTGTGACTCTATTCTCACAATAATGTCACACAGATGGGATTAGAATCTAGTTTACTCTAGTGTGATTTTGAGGACATAACTGATATCACCTGAAAAATTGAAAAAAAAAAACACACACACAAAAAACCAAATCCTATTTCCTCAAGTAGGTGTGGGGGTAAAATGTCACTTGTCACCGTCACTCTGGGAGACAGAGCTCAGTGTTTGTCACAGACTTTCTGCGTTGGTATGAACCCTGTAGGGACTCTTCCAAGGCCTTTTCAGAAACAAGACACCCACAAGGACCCAGAAGACTCCCAAACTGCCTTCCAACAAGCTCAGCTTGCAGAATTTGCATTCTGGGGGTTTAGGTGTTTGAGGGATTTGAAAAATTCATCTGTTTTAACAAATGACAGTGTATTTAAAAATAACCCTTCCCATCTGCTTTAGTCATTTTGAAGCAGCTTTGACAATTGCTCCCAGCCGCCTTTAGGATGCTGGGAAATTGTTTGGAAGGGAGAAAACTAAAATACTTCAGCTATTAGCAGTTCTCCAGCGTGTTCTTTAATCACTGATGTTTGGGAAGAGAATGTGAGGTGGGAATTTAATCCCTAGATTAAATCTGAAGTCTTTTTTTTCAAATTTTGGGGCCAGACCTAGTAAAACATCAGGCAAGAGATACTCCACTGATGGTAATTAATATAGTATATTTGTTTAGCACTAGTTAAGCACTCAGCTGCTAATTGGAGGGTCAACTGTTGGAAGCCACCAGCCACTCCATAGGAGAGAGATGTGGCTGTCTGCTTAACAACCTCAGAAACCCTAGGAGGTAGTTGTACTCTGGCCACTGAGTCAGAAACAACTCAACGGCAGTGTGTTTTTTGGTTTGTTTTTTATGTTTTGTTGTTAAGTTTTTGTTTATTTGTTTGTTTTTTTATTGTGTTTTGGGTGAAAGTTTACAAGGAAAATTGGTTTTCCATTCAACAATTCATACACAATTTTGTTTTGTAACATTGATTGCAGTTTCTACCATGTAACAGCTCTCTTTACACTTGCCCCCTGTCTTTACTGGTTTCATTCTGCCTTCCCTCCTGCCTTTGGAGCTTTAGCTCTGGGAAAATACTTTTGTTTGGTTGATTGTTCTAAAGGTGCATGCCTCCCTACTGTTAATGTTCACCTTATACGCCTTGTGTGGCACTGTCGGGGAAGCACTGGGCTGCAAGGTCAGTTTGAATCATATGATCGGTGGTTCAAATCCAGAAACTCTATACAGGGTCACTGAGGCACTTCACAACAATAATTGTTGGGTTGAAAGTTGAGTTCAGTTCCAGGCCTAAAGTGTGTCTAAAGGCTATATAGTCTTGGAGGTTCCACCAGTCTATGCCTGACCAGTAAGTCTGAGCTTTTATATGATTTTGAGTTTTGTCCCACATTTTCTCCCACTCTCCAGGCTCGCCTATTGTGGTCCCTTTCAGAATAGTTAGCAGTGATAGTCGGGCCCCATCTAACTCCTCTGGGACCAGAGTCAAGTAGGTTGGGGTTCACATGGTCCATGAGACCTTTAGACTAATGGCTTCCCTATGTTTTTTATTTTCTTTACTCTTCTTTTTTCTGGGTGGGGAGAGACCAAGTTACACTTTAGATGGCCACTTCAAAGGCTTTTAAGACCCAGTTGCTACTCACCAAAGTAGGATGCAGAACATGGTCTTTGTGGACTATGGTATGCCAACTGACCTTGAGGTTCCTTGAGACCGTGATCTTGGGACCCCAGGCTCAGTGCCTCAGTTCATTCCCTCAAGGAGTTTGGTTCTGGCTAAGAAGTTTACGTAACTTTTCTCTCCACATCCGCTCTACTATATTTATGGATATATTTGTAGCTCAGGTGAATACAAGTGTAGAAGTATCCTCTGCCAAGCCTATATACAATCCTAGGCAGAGTCCTATTGCCTTCCCAGCCCTGTTCAGATTGAATGTCTGTCTGTGGATCCCCTGGTAGGCCATTGTTTTTACTGTTATTGCAAGTTATGTGTATAATAGTATTTACTTGTTTCCCTTAACTCTTGTGTTCCTCCCAGTGTCCTCCGTTGCTTGATCCTTTTGTGCTGACGTCCCCGATTGTATATTGTGTTTTCTTTCACCCAAGTAAATATGTGTCTACTCGCTAGTTAGTGAGCTAGCCCGTCTTCCCCTCCCACCCT